AACAGGATGTTCTTGGGGGACTCCCAGTTAGTCCTTGTCTGGCCCTGGCGGGAGGTCTCCCATCCCTTCTCTGCGCAGGCATCCGCCCAGCCACTCCCAGTCGCTATCCCCGGCAGGCTCACTCGGCCCTGGCTGTTGCAGTCACTGCGGGTGCACTCTGCCCATTTCTGTGTCTCTCTCGTTAGGAGAGGCCGTCACAGGACTTGGAAAGCTCCGCTTCCACCCAAGTCTCAGCGGCCAGGGCATGGGTGCCACCAACAACATGGGAGGTCACGTGGTCATTACTCAGCCTTCCAACCCCTTCCCACCGCCTCCCAGGCAGAGCAGAAACTGTTTAGAAAAATCAGGCCAAGATTACCCCAGAGGGGAAACCTGATCTGAGTTTAGGGAAGGCCTTTGCTGAGTGACATTAATTATACCCGCTCAGGTTTGACATTATTAATTAACCTTCTCAGCTGTTTATGTTGTAGCCTCTTATTAAAACAATATGATTAAAACAAATGATTAAAGAATATTACTACCACCTTATATGTGCACCTCCTTTTAAGCTTACAAAAAAGGCTTTCTATCCACAATCTCGTTTGATACGCACGTCATTCGGTTACGTTAATATAGGACAACGTCTGTTTTCTTTATTTTTTGAAATCATGATACAGCATACATAGCATAAATTTACCACGTTTAAGTCCACAATTCAGTGGCGTTAAGTTCATTCAATGTTGTGTGACCATTGCACTGTTTCCAGAACTTTTGCTCATCATCCCAAACAGAAACTCAGTGTTCATTAACTAGCTCTCCGTCTCCCCTCCCCTCAGACTCCGAGAACCTCCAGTGTGTTTTCTGGCTCGATGAAGGTGCCAGTTCTAGGAGCCTCATACAAATGGAATTACACAGTAATTGCCATTGGATAACTGGCTCTGTCACTTTGCATGATGTCTTCAAATCTCATCCATGCTGTGGGCACTATCAGAATTCACTCCTGTTTCAGGCTGAATAATAGTTCATAGTACGTATGTGCCCCAGTTGCCTTCTGCATTCATCTCTTGATGGACGCGTGGGTTTTCCTGCTTTGTGGCTCCAGGAAAAACCTGCTGTGAACACTGGTGAGCCTTATTCTTCTTTGACAAATGTGGCCGAGGGATCCAGCTGGGCACCTGGAGGTAGGACAAAGGCTCTCAACCCTGAGCACACATAGGAGTGGCTTGAGGAGCCAAGCAGATGATGAAAATCAGGACAATACTCCGACCAGCTGGAGTGTCATTCTCTGCAAGTGCAGCCGGGAGGAGCATTTTATTTTATAATTTTTGTAAAGATTTATTTGAACTTATTTGAAAGGCAGAGTTAGAGAGGGAGAGAAAGAGAGAGATATATCTTCCACCCACTGGTTCATACCCCAAAGGGCCACAACAGCTAGGGCTGCGCCAGGCTGAAGGCAGGAGCCAGGAGCTTCATCTGGGTCTCCCATCTGGGTGCAGGGGCCCAAGTACTTAGACCGTCTTGCACTGAACTCCCAGGAACATCAGCAGAGAGCTGGATCAGAAGTGGAGCATGTGGGGCTCGAACCACCACCCACATATGATGCTGGCATCGCAGGTGGCAGCTTTACCCACTACGCCACAATGGCAGACCCAAGACTGACAGTTTTTAAAAAATGTTAACTGTTTATGAGTATCAGAGATAGCTTATTTTTCATCTCCCAATTGTATTAGTAATAAAATCAGGTTTTATTCAGTCATATTTATTTGCATTAGAGACCAGTGATCTACTTGACTCTAAGTCATTCATGTTATTTTCTATCACTGAGTTAATTAATAATTTTTTTATTTCCCATTTTCTTTCCACAAAATACAAGGCAGAAATGCTTTTAGAGAGTTTGTTTGTTGCAAAAATTTTTATTTCCTTAATATGTGTGTGGCCTGTGACAAACACATTTCTTTTGTTTTTGTAATGCCTTAAAAGAGGCAAAAATTAGTTTCAGTGGAAATATCAGTATCTGATATTATTAAAAATCTATCACTGATACAAGCTGAGTCAGTTTATAGAAAGGCCCTGCTTTAAGAGAATCGAGGCCAGCGCCACGGCTCACTAGGCTAATCCTCCACCTTGCGGAGCCGGCACACCGGGTTCTAGTCCCGGTCGGGGCACTGGATTCTGTCCCGGTTGCCCCTCTTCCAGGCCAGCTCTCTGCTGTGGCCTGGGAGTGCAGTGGAGGATGGCCCAGGTGCTTGGGCCCTGCACCCCATGGGAGACCAGGATAAGCACCTGGCTCCTAGCTTTGGATCAGCGCGGTGCGCTGGCTGCAGCGCACCAGCCGCAGCGGCCATTGGAGGGTGAACCAACGGCAAAGGAAGACCTTTCTCTCTGTCTCTCTCTCTCACTGTCCACTCTGCCTGTTAAAAAAAAAAAAAAGAGAGAGAGAGAGAATCCAACATGAGGCAACCTAATCTCACAGCAAATTTCAAGGGGACGGTGATCTCCGCTCTCCCAGGGTTTGTGGCTTTGTCAAAAGAATTTACTCAAAGGGTTAAATGAATCCTATTGTTAAATGGATTTTAATGCAACTGAAACAACTTTATGAGAAAAATGAAGTTGCATGCAATTTTGAAGGTATACATCTAATGCACAAAGTTCAATATAACTATATTAGTCTTGGTTATGATATTATATTGCTCTAAAACAGTTGAACCAACAAGCACCTATGAGGAAAGTATTCTTTAAGTTCTGAGCCAATCAGAATGGGAACCCATCAGATACTTTTAACCTCTCTCAGACATGCTGTGTAACAAGAATTGGAGAAAATTCATTTATAACATATACTTTGCTAAAGATCCATATATAGAGACTGAATATAGGGAATGTTTTTCCCCTTGTTTTCTTTTTTGAAAAGCCTTTATTTAATTAATGCAAATTTCATAGGTACAACTTTAGGAATACAGTGGTTCTTCTCCCTATACCCACTCCCTCACCACCACTCCCATCCCACCTCCTTCTCCCTCTCTCATCCCATTCTTCATCAAGATTCATTTTTAATTAACTTTATATACAGAAGACCAACTCTATACTAAGTAAAGATTTCAGCAGTTTGCAACCATAAAGACACACACACACACACACACGATGTATAAAGTATTGTTTGAGAACAAGTTTTGCAGTTAATTCTCATAGTACAACTCATTAAGGACAGAAGTCCTACATGGGGTGTGAGTACACAGTGACTTCTGTTGTTAATTTAACAATTAACACTCTTATTTATGACATCAGTGATCACCCGAAGCTGTTGCCATGAGCTGCCAAGGCTATGGGAGCCTTTTGTGACCACAAACTCTGTCAGTATTTAGACAAGGCCATAAGCAAAGTGAAAGTTCTCTCCTCCCTTCGGAAAAAAGTACATCCTTCTTTGATGGCTCCTTCTTTCCATTGGGGTCTCTCTCACAGAGATTCTTCATGTAGGATATTTTTTGCCACAGTGTCTTGGCTTTCCATGCCTGAAATGCCCTCATGGGTTTTTCAGCCACATCTGAATGCCTTAAGGGCTGATTCTGAGGTCATTCTAGGAGTCTGCTGTGCGGACTGCTTCCCATGTTGGACATTCCCTCATTTTTTATTCTGTCTATTATTACCAGGTACTTAATGCTATTTGTATGATCTCTTTAACACTCAGCCCTATCTATATGTTCACTTAATATGATCACTTTAACAATGAAGATGGCATTTTTACCACCAATTTTAATGGGATTTGGAGTCCCATGACAAGTTTTTAAACTGTACCCTGAGAAGTAAGTCTGTAGGAATGTATGCAGAACTATACAGCTTTATGTTTACAGACTTCCTCCTCCCTCTCTTATTCCCCCTGTTCTTCTTTACAGAGATCTATTTTCAATTGACTTTATACAAGGAGGAGCATTTTAAAGGAATTCCCTGGGGATCCTGCTGTGCAGCCAGAATGGAGACTGTGGAGCCCTCTGGAACAGCCCTTGCCAGCTGGGCTTCCTCCTTTAGTCTTCTTTCTTTCCTTTTTAAAAAATTAATTAATTAACATTATGTATTAAAGAGACAGAGAGAGAGAGGGAGAGAGAGAGAGCAAGTGAGCTACCACTCCCTTGTTCGTTCCCAAAATGCCTGCAATGGCCAGGGCTGTAGCCAGGAGCTGGGAACTCAATCCAGGTCTCCTATGTCAGTGCCAGGAACACAGTTACTGGAACCTGCACCAGCACCTCCCAGGGTCTGCGTTACGAGCCAGCTAGAACTGGGGATGCAGCTGCGACTGGAGCCAGGCGCTCCAATACGGGGTGTGGGCATCCCAACCAGGCATCTTAACTGTCAAGTGTCTGCTCCTTTGCTTTCTCTCCTAAAGCCACCCTTCACCATCTGTGATTCAAAGTGGATCCTCCTTGGGTCATTTTAACCCATAATTTGGAGCAGGAAAAATAAAACAAAGATTTCAAAATCAAAAATTCAAGCTCGAAAGAGGCAAAAGCAGAGTCTCACCACCAGGAAGCCAAATGCTGGTTTGTTGGCTAAATATATGGATCCATTTGTTTCCTGCATTTTAATCATCTCATTTTAATAACAGCACAATGCAAACAATGGTGTGGGTTAATTCAGCTCCATTTAAGAAGTCTTGCTCTGTATGCCAAAGCTTGTTGTTCTGTCTAGTTAAATGCTCATGCATTAAAATGCTAATAATTAAACTGTTACCATTGACTAATGAACTCTGCCAGCGGTAAATGATGGTCTTGTTAGATTCACAGCGCAGCAAGCCTCCTTTTGTGCCGAGGAAGTTAAAGGTTAAAGCGCTCTTGAAACCCGTGAGTGGATCTAGAAGCAATTACGATTTTTCCTTGAAACTAATAGTTACTACAATAATGTTTCAATTCCAACCCAGTACGAGTAAAAAGAATAAAAGGGGGGGGCGGGGTGCCCACTAGCTCTATTCACGGAGAAGGGTGGGGAGCTTTATTTAGCCCACAAGGCAGATGGTGTGGTTATTCAGACGAAAGCCTACTTAGTTACAAATAGCCTTCTTGGGAGCTCCGGGCTCAGAATGTGCAGGAAACGGGGACTTTTCAGGACACAGCAGCAGGTGACCCAAGCGCCCGCCGAGGTCCTGTTTGGAGGACCACAGCGAAGCCGGGTGGGGCATTTCTCCTGATCTCTTCGCGGTACCGGGGACGTTGCGGAAACTCGCCGACCTCCATCTTCTTAAGCAGGAGGACTGTCGCCTCTCCGCACCGCACACACGCGCTTCCCGCCGCTGAGTGCCCCGTGTCCATTGTCCTGCGGAAGCACTGATTCCAACTCCAGGAGGGTGAGCATGTGACCCTGTCCGGGCCAATCAGAGCGCTGCACCCTCCGGCCACAGCTGGGGCTGATCCGCAGCAGTCCGAGCAAACCCCAGGGCCTCAGCTAGGCATCTCCAAGACCCCTGTCTGCCGCGGGCTTGATCATAGGTGGACATTAGCCTGGATGGCCAGGGCCACTTCGTGAGGAAGGCCTGGCTGTCACGGCCAAAGCACAGGGAAGCGGGGAGGCAGGTCCCCCGGAGCTGGGTCCAGCCCCACACTGGACTTCCCAGTGATATGAGCCCAGATTTCTCTGTGAGATGTCCTGGAAGCCAATTTGAGTTTCTCTTGCAGGCAACCGGCAGGGTATCTCTCCCTACGAGCAGACTTGACAAAACTTATGGAAAATAGAATTGAAAGGTAAGTTTATTCTGGTGCCAAAATTTTTGAAATCCATGCATAATTTTTATGTAATATGCGTGTTCACCATCATTGAAGATGCTGTGTGTGTGCTCTAACAGGAGGATGTCCAGTAAATTATAATCGCCACAATGACCATCAGGCTCTGTGAGCTTGTGATGCTCTTAGACCCCGAAAGCCATGGGACAAGATGAACTTGACCTGGTCTGGTGAGACGAACTGCAAAACTGGCCAGACTCAACCAACAGCCAAGACCCAGCTACTTGGACGGGCTGGCAGAGCAGCATTCTACAGACACACGGGACTTTCCATTCTGAGGACCCCCTGCCCTTTGCCAGATATGTTTCAAACGGAAGAATCCGCTGGCCAGCTCAACTGATCATGAACTCAATCCTTTGCAGTATTTCTTGGTCATTCCGACGGCTCTTTGGACTCAAGGACAGATCAGAATGTGAGCTAGAGACACTTTCTGTGTTGGCTGAGGTTTTGCTGTGTCTCTGTTAGGACAGCGTTGCACAAAGTACAGTGTCCTATGCACACTGCAGTGTCCGCTCGGGATGTTGGAGCGAACAGTCACCAGGGACTTCCTAACAGGCCGGGGAGGCTGTGGGGAGTGGAAGAGGCAGGGAGGAGCAGCCAGGCTGAAGGCACAGAACTGAGGTCGCGCCTGCAGGGCAGGGGAGGTCCCTGGATGGGGCCTTGCGGGGCTTTCTGGCTAAGGACGGCCACCCAGGCACCACCCCTCTCCCTGGGCTCTGTCCTTCACGGCTCCCAGCTGCCCTGCTGGGGCTAAGTCTCCCATATTCCTCCAGTCCCACTTGTCTCGTGACCCTTCCCCCTTCCTCTTCCTCCTCCTCCTCCTCCTTCTTCTCTCTCTCTCCCTCCCTCCCTTCTCCCCCTCCCCCTCCCCCAAGGGAGGATCATTGACAACTACTAATCAAAGCAGCAGATACCTCCAGGTTCTTGCGGGTTTGTGTTAGGAAAACTTTCACAGCCATCAGTCCTAGTCCACTGATGACAAAACTAGGGCTGTCTTCCACCCACACTTCCAAAGTCCATCCACCCAAACGTCTGTCCATCCACCCATCTGTCCAATCATCTTCCCATTCATCTACCCAGAGCACATGTCTTCAAGTGCCAACCACAGGCCCAGCACCATTGTGGCCACCAGGAAATCTCAAAGAACAAAACAAAATCTCTACCTGTGTGATGCTTACAGTCTGGTGGGGAGAGAGACAACGGATAAGGAAGCGGACAGGTGCATAACACACCAGGGATTACACCCGCGGCGAGGAAGAACAAAGCCAGGTGCAGGAGTGAGACTGATGGGCGATGGGACCTCTGAGAAGCCTACAGACTGCCTTCCAGAATTTTCTTTGGAAGGACAGGAAATCCTGGCAGGTGCTGGTCACCAGCTGGCAGCCAGCCCACTCATTCTGAGACCTCTCAGCTCCTGCTTTCTGCTCCTGCGTTGGGAAATAGAAGCAAAGAGAGAGGAACGGGGAGGAAAAGCTGAGCAGCCAGCCAAGTGCCTGGCGAGCAGCGGGCATTTGACGGATGTTAAGTGATGAGCGCACAAATGAATGGCCGTGCCGTGTGAGGAGACCGAGGGTGGCTGCAGTTGAGGACAGGGGGTGGGCACTGGGAGCGTGTCTGCCTATACCCTGCCTACCGCCCAGGAGGGACCCACAGTGGGAAATGAGCTGAGCTCAGGAGCAGGTCCCGAGTCTCCTGCAGCCTCCCGTCACACCCCCACGGGCAGCCAGGCTGCTAAGCCTGATCCCAGCCCAGAGCCTTGAAGCAAAGCGTAGGGTCCGGGGCAAGGTTCAACCCTGGGTGACCACAGGCATTCCTCTTCCCGGACCCGCTCGAGTGCAGCGGAAGCCCACCTGGAAGCCCAACGAGAAGTTAATAAGCAAACCACACTGTGTACCTAATGAAGTTTTAAAGCAATTACGGGGCAATCTCATTGATCCTTTGTTAATATCTTGAAACCTTTACAAATTGATTTTATTTAAAGAACTCTCACGGTCTGTTAACTTCATCAATGTGTTTTCGCTTTGTTTTGAACACAACGCTAAGCAGCGTGTGCGTGCACACACGTGTGGCCCGGCATGGCCACTCGGCAAAGAGCTCTTCTGCACCGGCCGGCGTCCACCTGCCTGCTCACAGAAACCCCTTCTTCCAGGTCGGTGTCAGGGGTCCTGTCCTGTGGGGCCGACTTTCCTGGGGGGCAGCAGGGCGGTGCCTCTGGATCCGTCCCCCTGCTCAGGGCCAACTGGTCTGTTAGGACAGAGTTCACGCTGACATCTGCCGGAAGTGGCAGCAGTGAGCAGGGGCTGGTGTGAAGGCAGCCATCCTGAGCCCAGGAGGCATGGGGACCCTGGCTTCAGAGTTCTGAGTCCTTGCTCAGGAATAACACAGAGGCAGGCTGCTCCGAGAGTCCGGCAGAGGTTCCTGGTGACAGTGAAGTCCTGCTCCCTTGTAAGCCAGGCGCTCGGGAACAAATCCTAGCAGGGAGTGTAGCAAGACCCACAAAGTAAGCTGTTTGGCCAGCTCCACCTTGGCCATGCTCACTCTTGGCTTGCGCTTTAGGCACCCTGCTTGGAGAACGAGGCAGAAATCCTGGAGGGGGACCAGAGGGAGGTGACAACCACGTGGCATGTCGTAAGGCAAGAGGACAGGGGCTGCAGCATTCCGGGCTTTGTGGAGGGAGGCGGGGAGAGCTAGAGCGCCAAGGGCTGTGGCGGAGCCGGCAGTGCACCGTGCTCGGTGCTCTAAGGGTTTCCTCTAAGAGTGTGGCTGCCAGAGGACTTGGGCCATCTTCTACTGCTTTCCCAGGCTATTAGCAGAGAACTGGATCGGAAGTGGAGCAGCCGGGACTCGAACCGCTGCCCATATGGGATGCTGGCACTGCAGGTGGTGGAGGCTTTACCCGCTACACCACAGTACTAGTCCCAGAAATAAAGCCATCCTGTTTCTTATGGAGATATCAGCAAACAGAGATGAGCCAAGAAACAAAGCAGAAAGAATGTTCCATTTGGGCAGAAGACATTATTGTAAGAAACGGACGCTCAGTCAGCGTTGTGGCACCGTGAGTTCAGCCTCCGCCCAGGATGCCGGGTCCCCTACTGCAGCACCAGGTGGAGTCCTGGCTGCTCCGCAACGGATCCAACTCCCTGCTAACAGCCTGGACCCACATACTTAGGTCCCTGTGGCCCACATGGGAGACCTGGAAGAAGCTTCCGGCTCCTGGCTTTAGCTTGACCCAGCACTGGCCATTGTGGCCATCTGAGAAGTGAGCCAGCAGGTGGAAGATCTCTGTCTCTCCATCTCTCTCCTTGTACCTCTGCCTTTCAAATAAATCAGTCTTTTAACAACAATGATGTATAGCCTCACAGGTTCTTAAAAAAAGAAATGCAACTCCCCTAGTGTTTGTACATAGAACATGCACTTCTTGCAAATAAGGAATCCAATGAGTCAAAAAGGAGAATGATATCCTGTCTTTCACTGAACGGGGCCTGTGAATTTTTCTTTATGCCACTATCAACCTCATTTAAAATGCCCACTGAGGTCCTCCAAGGGTGGACCCTCCCCTTTTATGAATGCTGGACACTGGGGACGTTTTGTGTCTTGCCCCTGTGTAGGCCACGCTGTGAGGAGCATCCTGCTATGTATGTCTTCACATGCATCTTAAACGTACCTCTGCCGCTGTGATGGCTACGGAGGCACGTGCGGTGCCGCGTGCTAAGAGCAGAGAGCTGAGGCCACACTGGGTCTGACTCGGTTTCGGACAGTGCAGAGGGATGTCAGCTTCAAAACCCACGCCTGCCTCTATTGAAGGGCTCCTCTGCCTGGCTCCCTGCCCCAGTACTGGAGAGCGGGCAGGAGGAGCACTGTCGTGGGTGGCTGGGAGACACCTGTGATAGTGTCCATTGGAGTCCCCGCCACGTGGGCCAGAGCCTGAGGGAAGTGTCCCGACACTGACCACTGCAGAGCCCACAGACACCTGCACAGCGGGAGTTGTGGAGGGGATGGTGAGTCCGCCTGTGCTGCCTGGAAATCGGGCGAGCGAGCTGCCATAACCGTCACTGCCCAGCCATTCCCCGGGGAACAGAAGGGTTCCCCATCACTGGCTCCTGGAATGCCATTTCAGTGCCTCCTCCTTAGGAAAGAAGAACACATCTCAGGTCTCATAAACCAATGCTTGCAAGATTACGGAGACAGCAGACCACGGCCACGGGAGCTCTTCCACCAGAAACCGTGGGGTGAGCATGGGTCCCTTGGCCCATGTCGGGGGCACAGTGTGGATTGTGATGGGAGCTTGCCTGCACCCATTTCACAGATGGTGCCGTGGGTCGCAGAGGTCCAGGTGGCGGGTCTGACTCCAGGCAAGAGAGCCGCCGCAGAGCTGGAGCCCATCCACTGTCCACGGATGGGACCCCTGCCTTCCTGGCTTTATTGCCGCAAGGATGGGGGATGAGGTAGCGTCTCAGAATGTCCTCTGTGAAATATAAAATATTATATGTCTATGTGAGAGATTATTGCAACTTATAAAGGGCCGTCATAGAAAATTTTAAGCGAAAGCTCAAACGGCCAAGCGCCACAGTCCTGACCGTTCTTGTTCATTTTTCCTCGAGGGACAATAAGAAGAATCGTGCACAGGGATTGAATTCTGCCACGTGATCGAAGGACTCCTGTGACATCAGCCCACGGAGTGCTCACAAAAGCTCTGTGGCAGGTGGCTTGATTGCTCCCATCTTACAGACGAGAAAACTGGAGCACCGAGAGGTTAAATCATTTGCACAAAAACACGCCGTTTCTATGCGCCAAGTTTGCTGGCTCTCCAAGTCTGTGATATTTTCCTGGATCATACACAAAAAAAAGTCTGCAGGCGCCCTCTTCGTAAGGAGGGCTTGGGTTGGACCTGCCCATGAGTCTGCCTCTGGACAGCCTGGGTCAGGCCAGGGAGTCGGGCTCCTGCTTCGCCGGCACCAGGCTGACTGCCCCAGGCGGGGGGTCCTCCGGGGCTCTGTGTTGAGATCTCTATCGGACCAAAACAGGTTAAGCTGACCCAGGACAAAGAGCACCCTGGGACGTTTCCCTTCTGGGTCACAAATGTACACGAGCTTCCAAAGTGAAGTGCTCTCCTCTCTGAAAATCCTGAATTTTGATGAAACCAGCCCAGAGTTCCCAGAATTCACTCCGGTGCACTTTGCAGAGCCTCACACGCTGTCCCCACGGAAGGTTTCATTGCTTGCACCTGCTAAAACATTTGAGGCATTTGAGAGGCAGTGAAACACATTTGCTTTTCATTTTATCTGACTCGGGAAACCTTTGAAGTGTTTAATAGTAGAGGCCAGGAGAGATCCCCGCCTCTTAATCATTGACTGGCCAGGCGCGGTCTCGGCTGGTAGCCTGTCAAGCAGAACCCGGGCTGAGCCCGGTTTTATTAAGTGTCACATGGCCAGTCACTGTTCATTAAAGGTGTTTTAAGGTTTGAATTATGTCACTGATGAGAAAAAGAAATAAAAATTCCACCGTTGCATTAATATGCAGCCCAAGATCTCCCACTCGGAACGAACTTGAAGGCAAGTGAGGCCGAGGGACACTAGGGGACGTGGAGGTGCCCCCTGCCCTCCCACTGTGGGCAGGGCTCTGGGGAGGGCCACGGCAGCCTGGATACCAGGACATGGCTTCCCTGAGCCTTGACCACAAAGCTTCCTTCCTCCTGCCTTTGCATCTGTTCCGCCTCTTTTCCAGAAAGACCCAAGACAAATAGCAGGAAAAAGCATTCCTCAAATGACCCAGGTGACCTGTGACCCACGATCATTGAGGGCTAATGTGGCTGCTTCTCCAGAGAGAGCGAGCAGGGGCCGGGGACCAGCCATGTCCCCGTGGGCAGGCACCTGCTTCTAACACTTGATTTCATTGGATCTTCGCCAGCCCTGGAGGGAAGACAGGGCCAGGCCCATTTTACAGGAGAAACAGGTGCTGTGGCGCCTTCCCTGGGGGGGATCCTGCCCTGGGGGATCCTAAGGCCGGGCCCGCCTTCCTGGGGTCCTGCCCCTAGGCCTGCTGGGTGCGTGGAGGGACAGACAGGGCAGCCCGTGCCTCTTCTGGACTTGTTCCGTGCAGTGGCCCAGAAGGCCCCAGCAGGGTTGGCTGCCTTCACCGAGAACGTTTGCCTCCTACAGGTGCCCCGTGCACTTTCGGAGCATTTGCAATTCCAAGATTACCAGAAGATTGGCAAAAGGGCTATGCCTCGTGGAGTCACGCACCAGGGCCCTGGCCACCTCCTCTTGAGGCCCCCGCTTCCCAACAAAGGCAGGAGAGCAGCCTTCCCTGCCCACGAGGTGGCTTTGAGACCCTGCAGGAGTTGTTCTCCTGTTCGGTCTCCTCTGACTGGCGGAGAAAACACCCACAGGGCAAAGTCCTTTTCCAAAATGAAGACAGCCTCGGAAGACTCAGCCCCCAGTTCAGCTGGGTAAGCTGGTACCGCTAACGGTATTTCTCACCTCCCACCTGCCTCCCACTTTCCTGCCCACACAGAGAGATCATGAACTTGACTTTGTTGTATTTTTTTAATCAAGCGACTCATGCATTACAGGTGCAAAGTTGCAGCAGGCTTTTCCCCTTTGGCTCAGATGGTGACTTTTTACGTCTGTAAGGACTCTCAGGTGCTACAGCTTTGCCGTGCCACCAAACAGGAGTGGGGTGGAGTTCCGAGAAGAGAGGACTGTAAAATCCAAGTTGGGATAGGAGCGGGGCATGGCTAGAGCTAAACCAACTCCTGCTGGGGGACCCCACTTCTCCCAGCTGGACCCCACTTCTCCCAGCTGGACCAGAATAGGAAAAGACCTGTCTGCAAGAGGCCAGGCAGTGGACCAGGTTTTACGAATCAATTATTTTTGAATTACCAATTGTACCGAGATTCGGATGGTGCCGGCTGCCGGCAGCCCGGGTGTGTGAGCAGCTGCCTTTGATGGGCTAGCTTGACTTCTATTAGCAGAGAAACCACAGACTTCTGCCAGGCCACAGGCTGGAGAGTTCTGGTGTCTCCTGGAATTTGGTGGGGCTCTGAGCTGCTCTCGACGCCCAGAACGCTCTGGGTAGCATCCCTAGGACTCATCACGGATCTGTTAACTCATGAATCCTGTGCTCATTTACAACATCCCCCGAGGCCCAGGGATTCAGACGGGGCTCAGTGATGCCGGCCGGCTGGAGACCCAGACTGGTGAACAGACGATTTCAGCACGTAGTGCTTGATGTGTGCCTCGAAGCGGGAAGACCAGCCCACCTCTGGGAGCTTGGTGGCGGGACATCAAGGAAGAATTCCCAAAGGAGGTGACAGCTATGCCCCGGGACTTGGAGCTGGTGTAGGAGTTGGATGGGCAATGCTAATAGCAAAGGAAAGCTCTGAACCTTCCAGACCCTGGCAAAGAGTTTAGAATTTTGTCGGAAAGAAATGAGGAACCATGGGTGAGTTTTTAAATTATTATTAGAATTGTATTTATTTGGAAGGTAGAATTACAGAGAGAGGGAGAGAGAGGTCTTCCATCTGCTGGTTCACTCCCCAAATGGATGCAATGGCTGGGACTGGGCCAGGCAGAAGCCAGAAGACTGGAACTTTACCCGCATCTCCCACAGGGGTGACGAGGGTGCTGGGGTCCAAGTATTTGGGCCATCGTCTGCTGCCTTCCCAGGAGCATTATCAGGGAGCTGGATCAGAAGAGGAGCAGCTGGGACTTGAACCAGCGCCCATATGAGAGGTGGGCGCCCCAAGCAGCAGCTTATCCGGCAGCGCCCCAGCCCTCACGGTTGGGCTGTAAGAAGGGGTGGAGTAGAGTCAGACTCTAAGAGTGGAGGGAGGGCAAGGGGGGAGCCGGGAGACCAGCTGGGAGTCGGACAGGAGCAGGGCTGTTGATGGGGCAGGGGGAGGCCGGGGCTAGGCAAAGCCTGCCCCGGGCATGTGTGCAGCTGGCACTGGGGGGAGAGTCAGCCAGGGATCCCGGCCCTGAGACAGGACCAGCCCCTGGGGGCCACTGAACACCGGGCCCTGCAGAGCTGGGCCCCCAGGGAGGTGAAGAGGGGTCTCAGAAGAGGACAGACTGCTTGCTCCAGCCCGCACGACTCTTGAACCAGTGGAGTCGGATAACTTTGGGTGCTGGACACTGAGAAAAGAATTTCTCTGGAACTCTGCATGTGTGTCTGGAGCTGGCCCAGGGCAGCCACGGACAGTTGTGCAGGCTGGGCACATTACCAAGAGGCTGCGGTGGGTGAACCTGTGTGGCACACATAGAGGCTTCCACCATGAAACAGGCACACGATTAAAAAAAAAAAGAAACCGCGCATGGATTCCAGGGTTTTACACCA